TGGTGTTTAACGAGACTGAGGGAGAGGGAGAGGGCGAGGGCGAGGCCCCGGCCGACTTGTAACTAGTGCATGCGCTGGCTGCATGACCTTTTTTTCTTTCTTTGTCTTTTCATCCGCCTATCATTTGGATGTTTGACTATGCGAGCATGTCTGCGTTTTCTTTGGGTTTTTAGCATGGCGCTCTGGAAGGGATACCACGGGTGGGGGCTTATAACTTGTTTTTACTTTTATTATTATCTTTGGTTATATATTTATAATGCTGCCCTTTGGGCATATACCACTCTTATGAATCTGGCTTTGACTTTTGTGATGTGATGGTGATGACGCCTGCTATACTTGCTACACTTGCTTGACTTGCTTGACTTGTTTATAAATGTGTCTGGTTGGTGACGTTTGTTGTCATGGTATTAATGGGTCATGACACCATGCTACACTTGGTTGTCTCCATGTGCCTTTCTTTTGTGTTTGTATCAATGAACTACGTCTGCTGTGCTTACTTGTGCATGTGCGTCATGTTCTATTTTTCATCACGACACTTGTGGACAATGACTTGCTGCCCTGTCTATGCAACTGTCTGTCTGTTCCATCGCCTCACACCCATGAATGACTGGCATCCTACACCTTGTCTTGGTGAGCGTGTCCGTCACTGCTGCCTCCATTTTATAACATGTATCCATATGACCATATCTGTACTACCGAGTACACTTACCGCACTGCTGCCTCTTACCCACACCCACGGACGATTCCAGCATTTGCCGACTTGGCCCTTCTTCACGGTCCCTGACTCAACGCCATCATGGGGCCCCGGCATCGAGAAAACGAAACGCTCAGGCATTCATTTTTTCCTCTCTCCAAATGTTTTACGTCTTGGCAGCGCGCCCTGCTAGCTCCAGGCCCACCAATGATTCCTCACACATCCTCGCCCCGGACATGAATCAGACAAGACAGGCCTCTTCTCGCAACTTGCTACATCCCGGCCGCCATGGCCGTTTTCAGACTCTCCCCCCCCTGTATGGAATCCAATGCCGAACATTCCTCAAATTACTCCGTACCCATGATGAATTCGTTTGGCAAGAAAAAAAAAAAAAACTTTTCAGTCTTGAAACCAAAAGTGTCCGTTCCCCCCGGTCAAAAAACTTGGACACTTGACTCGTATTCCCCGACGGCACATGATTTCCGAGAATCTCTGCCTCACGCGGGCTGCGGTCCACCTTTGCACAATCTTTTCCGGCGCCCACGGCTCCCACGGCTCGCAATCGCTCTTGGCAGGGACGGCATGCACAGGACCAGCCCAGCGTGTCCGGTCCATTCCACCACGTCACCCTCCAGCTGGCACTAGGCCGAGGCGGACCCTTGGAAATTGGCCCAGCGCCAATTTATCCGCGGGGCTACGGAAATGCCGGCTTCAGCAGGGTGCCGCTGCATCGATGTCATCAATTCAATTTTTTTTTGTGGCCTTTGCTCAAAACGTCCCGGCGCCACGATTGGATTCCAGACCGCTGGGACGGGACCGGGATACACAGCCAATTTCTGCAAAAGGCTGAGACGTAAGATACCGATAGTCTGTCTGTCTCTCTCTCGTTTTTTTTTTTTTTTTTTGCGACGGGGCCATGTTTCCTAAAAAAAAAACGTGGCAAGCTGTTTGGGGGCCAGACCTGGCGTGTGCTTGGCGGCGTGCAGGCCCGTGATTGGCCGGGCGGTGGGCAAGCGGCGCCCGTCGGCAGGGGCTGCTTCATCTGGACGCGTCCCGGCCGTAAGGCTGAGTCCCTCTTCTGTTTCTGTCTCGCTGGGCGCGTGCATGCAAGCAGGCAGGCAGGCGCTTGGTGTGGAGTTGAATTGGCCTTGTTGCGAGTGCATGTGGCCTGATGGCAGCTGACTTGAGACCGTTGACGGGCTGCACACGTGGTCCAACTGGTATTTTGGGCTACCGAGAGCCGTGTTTTGCGAGAGTCGAGGCCGTGGTCCGTCCCGGACAAGCTTGGGGCTGTGGGCTGTGCTGGAATTTGCTCCATTATTGTTTTGTTTTATTTTCCTTGGTTTTATTTATACTCCGTATACGGAGTACCATGTTTCATTTTCGGGCAGAGAATGCATGCATAGCACGCGCGATACAACGTGCCGCATCTTTGCATGAACATCGCCTAGCAGTAGCAACTTGAGGAGATGGAGAGGCATCACCACAGCCATGTGAGACACTTGGAAGTCTTAGAAGCGCGCCGTGTGTAGCCGTCAGCTCTGAAGCCACGTCGCCTTTCTTCCGACGAGAGCCAGAATCGTAAGCGGACGCCCATGGCGTCTCGTGCCAAGACAACACGGCTCGCCATCAACTCGTATTGTCTTGGCTGCAACTATACAAGTACATAGTTGCCAATTGACTGCCAGCCTCGCAGCCAGAGCGAAAAGCACTGCTGTGACGTGTCAAAGAAACTCCATGGTCTACGCCGTCCATTGACCGCATTACCTTGTTCCAGATGGCCAATACAACCAGACCTTGTACAACCTCCATCACCCCCTCACAGTGGCTGTCAAGAGTCGGCTCTAGCCGGGTCAAGTATGTACACCAACTTGATGCTTTGTACGGCAAAAGATGGACGGTAGCAAAGATGGTCATCATTCTTTACATTCTACAGTACAAATCATTCATTCCATTTACACATGACGACGTACCCTGACAATCTGGTCAGCACACAAACGAAATCATCCTACTCCCAACACTCCCACCATCACCACAGCCGCCGCTGATAATACACCGGCTTATCCGCCTGCGCCAGCCTCTGAATCTCATCCTTAATGAGCTTCCTACGCTCCGCCCTCGTGACGGGAAGAGGATTCTTGGCCAGCGGATCAGGATGGTCCACCCCCCAGGCCTGCCCAGCAGCCCGCTCCTTGATCGTCTCCAGCATCGCCAACTGCTCCTCCGTCGCCTGCCTCTTCGTCCCCCCTTCGCCCTGCGCCTCGCTGTGATGTTCTCGCTGCTCCGGCGCCAGTCTCACGTCATCCCCCTGCTTCTGCTTCTGTTTCTGCTTCCGCCTCGTCGTCTTCTTGCCCTTGGCCTCGTCCTCGCGGAGCTCATACTTCTTAGCTATGCGCGCCTTCTCGTCCTTGTCCGCCAGGCTCTCCCCCACCACCACCGTCCCGTCCTGCAGCCGCACCGTCTCCCGCGTAAAGTAGTCAGGCAGGTGCGCCTTGGGCGACGGCTTCGTGTGTCCCGGCCGAATCGCCACCCGGAGGTCCTGCAGCGTGCGCTGCTGGAGGGCGTAGCCGCTGAGGAAGAGCGCGAGCGTGAATAGGATAACTGCGTCCCCGTTAGAAATGCCAATCTCAACTCTGAGCCCTTGGAATGCGCGCCAAGGTGTTTGGAATTTTGCCCGTACCGACGATGATGGACACGAGGGCCGATACCTCGGACGAAGAGAGGAGCGCCTTGCGCATGTCGACTATCGACGTAGCTCAATCAATCGTAGACTTGGAGAGTAGAAGTAAAATACCAACGATTGGTTTTTGTTTCCCTTCAACTCTTCTTCTGTTCATGTGCGAAGCGTAGTTTTGCCAGCCGGCATGTCACCTCCCCAGGTGTTAATGCACCTTCACTCCGCCGTTGGCACGGCAACTATCTTATCGCACCGATCCGTGTGTCCACCACCCTCCCCTTCCCGCAGAAACACCCAAAACCCACCACCAGTCTTCAACCACGATCAGCCTCGCCGCACACTTGCACAACTCTGCCAAAAGCCGCCCTCACGCGCCGCCATGTCTCAAAGCGACACGGTCCAGGCCGACGCGCGCCGGTTCCTCGACGAGCGCGGGTCGACGGCGGCCCTGGCCCCCAACGGCCTCAACCCGGCGACCATAATGGAAAAGGCCGTCAAGGACCGCATCGTCGAGTCCTACTTCTACAAGGAGCAGTGCTTCGCCCTCAACGAGGCCGACATTGTCGACCGCGTCGTCGAGCACGTCCGCTTCGTGGGCGGCACCCACGGCGACGCCCAGAAGCCCAGCCCCTTCCTGTGCCTGGCCTTCAAGCTCCTCGAGCTGGGGCCCTCCGAGGCCGTGGTGCGCGAGTACCTGTCCTACGGCGGCGAGCACTTCAAGTACCTGCGCGCCTTGGCCTGCTTCTACTACCGCCTGACGCGGAGGGCGGCCGACGTGCACCGCGCGCTGGAGCCCTTCCTCGGGGACCGGCGCAAGCTGCGCACGAGGGGGAGGCGCGGCGCGGCGCTGACCTACGTGGACGAGTTTGTCGACGGCCTGCTGACCCGCGAGAGGGTCTGCGCGACGAGCCTGTGGAAGATGCCGCCGCGCGAGGTGCTCGAGGACCTGGACGAGCTGGAGCCCAGGGTCAGTCCGCTGGGCGACTTGGAGGATATTCTGGACGAGGAGGAGGAGGACGAGGCCGAGGCCGAGGAGGGGCCACGGGATGGGGACGCCGAGGAGGGCGAGGTTGGAGGCGATATGGATGTGGATGTGGACAGGGAGGGAGGGGAGTTGAGTAGGTCCGGGTCGAGGTCGCCTTGAGCTCATGTTGATGGAGGATTGTACAAACAAGACGGATGCGACAGTCTTCCTGTGGCCGTGTGGACGGTCTTGCCAAGTCGGGATTTCAAAGCAGTCATGGTGTGCCCGACTACCGCGACGGCGAGGTTCTCTTCGCGACCAAGGCGATGGCGAATCACTACAGAGAAAACGGCATCTTGCTGGCTGCTAGACGGCTCACATGGGCGCTCACGGAGTCAATCAGTGTCAAGACTAGGGATATATTGCACAGATGGCAACGCCGGGATACAGCAAAACGCAGATTGGTGCCAGTTCTTGGCCAACTAGAAGGGGTAGCGGGAAACAGCCACTCTGCCTTTGGTCCGTGGTGCGCGTTTGATGTTTTCTGCTGGCCCGCGTGGGCAGCGCACCATGATATCCTTGTGTATTAATATAATGAACTGCAAATGCTTGGACGCCAACTCATTCTGCCATCCGTGATGCAAAAAAAAAAAAAAGGCAACCATCTATGCCGCCAGCGCCTTTAATCTCTCCGCCATGGCCAACACCCGCTTATCATCCCAATACTGCCCAATCAACTGGAGTCCCAACGGCAACCGACCCTCCCCGACCCTTCCCGACGGCACGCTGACGGCAGGTAGGCCAGCCAGACTTGCGGGCACGGTGAAGACATCCCCCATGTACGCCTCCAAACTGCTCTTTGTAAGCACGTCATTCAGCGTCGGCGCGAATGACATCGCAGTCGGCGACAGGAGGAAGTCTACCTGCGGAGGACCCTGCTTGTCCTGCAGAGCCGTCTCGGCATCCATGTCGCTGAGGTCAAACTGCGCCGCTTCTTGGAGCGGGTTGTCCCGTTTGAACACCTTGTCAAAGTCCTGCCGGATCAGCCGGCGGACCTTTTGCGCCTGGACAAAGTAATTGTCCATTGCTTCAGAGCTGAGACTGTAGGTGCCCAGCAAGATGCGACGCCTGACCTCGGGGCCGAAGCCGGCTCCCCGGGTTTCCGAGTACAACGTGTCGCCCCCGGCGTCTCCGTGCTCCCCTCGCGCGCCGTAACGAACGCCGTCGTACTTGGCGAGGTTGGAGGATGCCTCGGCGGGGGCAAGGACGTAGTACGCGCATAGTGCCTCCTTGGTTGACGGCAGAGACACCGGCACGATGTTCACGCCGGCCGACTCCAGCGCTGTGGCAGCTTCCGCCCAAGCCTGTCGCATGATGGGGTCCAGCTCGGCAACGTTGTATTCCAGGGGAATGCCAACAGTGAGCTTGGACATGTCTTCCAGAAGCGGCGGGCATGCTTTGGCGCATCGTCGCCTCGAGGCTGGAGATAATGACGTCGGGTCGTTGGGGTCGTGCTCCTCGTCCAGCTTGGTTTCCACTAGAAGATGGAGAATTGGCTTCACCTCTCTGGCCAGCATTCCCACAGTGTCCAGTGAGTTGGCGTAGGGAAACACGCCGTAGCGCGAAATCATGCCGTAGCTCGGGCGGTAGCCTACAGCTCCCGTGTACGACGCAGGCAGACGGATTGAACCGCCCGTGTCGGTTCCCAGGGCGATATCCGCTTCCCCGAGCATGACAGCAACGGCACTGCCCCCAGAGCTGCCCCCCGCGGAGATTGGCTCATCCGTGGAAAGGTGGTTGCTCACGGCGCCATGCATGGAGTTTGTCGCGTGGGAGCCCATGCCGAACTCGTCCATGTTGGTCTTTCCCACGACGATGCCGCCACGCGCACGCAGCTGGGTGACGACTGTAGCTTCGTAAGGTGATTTGTGGCCGCGGAGGATGCGAGAGGCGCATTGTGTCGGGAACTCGGCCGTTGCAATGTTGTCCTTGACGGCGAGCCTGAAGGGCTTCGCAGAAGGGAGCAGCTGCGGCGGAGGAGAGGCTGGGTGTATTCTTTCTGTTGTATTGACGGGTCAAATTAGCACTGGACACGAGCAGATGACGGGTCTCCATGCTGTTCAAGCACATACCACTGTCCACAAAGTGATTGCAGCTTGTGCTCTGGGAGCGACACTGCGGCATGGACTGCCATGATGAATCGAGGCACGCAGCGGGGGCAGCTCTGCGAGAACGCAGAGGCGTCCTTGGTGCTCGTACGTGTATGTGCGGATGAAGAGCCGAGCAGCGCACGCAAGCTGGCCTCATGATTGGATTCGCAAGACCATCAATATGGTGACGGTTGGGAAGACTGCCTGAAACCAATCACTGAGTGTCGGGGTCCAAAAAGTCGAGCTCCATGGAGCTGTTCGGCGGTTTACTCACATGCAACGTCGATTCTTGGCGTGCGGCTAGTCAGTTAGCGGTTAGTACGGGCGGGAAATCAGGCGCTGGCCGAGCAGTATTTGACCAGCCCCAGGCAGCCAGTCGGTGCACAGGTCCAATGTCCAGGGACCTGCATCAACTAAGGTCGGGACCACAGTTGACAGCTTCAACCAGTTGACATTTTTAACGACATCACCGACACTCAACCTCGACTCCGCCAGCTTTTGCGCCAACACAACCCCCGCCACCATCTCTACCTTGTATTCTTTTTCTATGCAGTCAATAAGCAGCTCACCGTCATAGCCCCCATATCAAAGGGTGCTGCATTGCCCCGCGGCAGCATGTCCTCCAAACGCGAGCTGTCGGATGTCGACGAAGGGGAAGTCTCTGAGCCCGACCCCAAACGGGCGAAGAAACAAACCGGCGCCATGCCCCGACACCAACACCAAAACTCGTCCATAGATCCAACATGGGGGCAAAAATACGTCTTTTCAAGTCTACAAGATGCGACAACCATCCCCTACGGCGAGGAGTCGGACTTTGAGGACGACGCTGACGCCATGGCCTATCTCTTGTCTGTCAGGTATGCTCATAAACGACCCTACATATCCTATGTTTGTCTATCGGAAACGTGTGTTTGCTGAATGTATTTTTTGTATTCTAATCATTTAGATGATGCTGATACGGTGAGTATTACAGAAAAGAGGCGTACGATATTCCGCATTTGCTCGTCGCTCCAAAAGTTCAAATTGGACCTCAGTTCCCACCCGAGCTACAACAAGACGATCAAGGCGAGGTCGATCGAACCATCTATACTACCGGGGCAGTCGATGATTCCAGAGGATACTACGACGACGGAGCGTACATTGCAAGGCCACAACACGACGACGAAGACGAGAAAGCTGGCCAAGCGGCCCACGGCTGTGGCGATGATGAAAGAGAGCTTCACGAAGCATACTTCTCCGCGGTAATGGCCCGATATACCCATCTTCGCCAGCTTCTACACACAACTCCACCCCCGGACGCCGCCAAGAGACTATCCTCGACAAAAGAGACCTACGCCGCACCATTTGGCCGCGATTCCACCACCAACAAAACGTGGGCAAATATCATGCGCAACACTGACCCTCACCCGCTGCAGCTGGCGCTCATGTCCAAAGAAACCGTAATCCGCATCCTACGCGTACTAATAGGTGGCACATTCTTACGAAGGGGCCACACTCTATCTGAACGAACGAGCCAGTGGCTCTGGGGGTTGCTTGCACGACTACCAGATCGAGGGGAACTCAACCACACCGAGATAGGCTGGGTGCGGGACCTCGGTAGGCGCGCAGTCCTCCTCAGCAGGAGTTTGGCCGAGATGGCAGCACTGCGGGATGAACTCGCAGACGGAGGGCTGGGCGTAAACGAGGGCGTTGATGCGAGTAGCAGCGATGAGGATGTGGTGGGAACTGATGCCGACGATGCAGAGGGCGTAGACAGCCCATGTGAGAACGACAGCCCCGCAGAAGACTTGAACCAAGAAAGCGTCGCCAAGGACGAGGGAGATAAAGGGGATCCAGGGGCAGACTCGACTCTGGAAGGCAATACGACAGACAAGAGAGACGAGGACGAAGAGGGTGAGATCCAGGAATCTGAGACCGGGGACGTAGCCATGGACTTGGGCTCGGACTCGGACAGCGACCAGGGCGGCACCGTCGATGAAGGTCTCGAAGCTGCCAAACGAGAGTTACTGGCACGCCTGGGTGCGTCGGGGGCAGAGCAGGAAGTTGATACCCAGGAAGACGACGCTACGCTGCGACTACGCATGAACATGCGCGCGACGCTGAACATGATCTTGACTGTTGCGGGGGAATTCTACGGACAGCGGGATTTGCTCGAGTTTCGGGAGCCATTCGTAGGTATGTAGCTTGATGTGTCAGGTTTTCTAAGCCAAGTATGCCCTTAGCCACCGTGGCAAAGTCTCGATAGTCGAGACGTGTAATGTAAAAATACATGCAAATTCGGCATGATGGCCCAACTGGGCAGTTTCTGCCGTCCCGTTCGATGCGCCCTAAACTCCTGTACGTGAATACAAAGCCGCAGCTGCCTCCTACAAGATACAATTCAACTTGGTAGTTGTGCTCGTGACAGGGAAAGGAAACCAAAAGAAAAAAACTCCTCGACTGTTCAGGACAAGTCCATGTCGCGCGTGTCGCCAAAAACGAGAAATTCAGCCTCCCCAAAGTCCCTGTCCACTGCCGCATTCTCCTGACCGACGTGCTTGAGCGACGGGCGCTTCTTCACACGGGTCCTCGGGACGGCCATGACTCTCGAGTCCCCCCACTGCGACGGCGCAAAGCTCCGCGGGCTGACTTGGTCGTCCCAGCCCTTGGACGGCAGCGCCAGCAGGGTCGGGCAGTCTGCCCGCTCGTCGTCACTGTAGCATCGCTTCCGCGACGAAAGCTCGGGGGCGTTGCTGTCCACGCTCTCTTGCGACATGGTCAGCTCCGGCACGTCGTCGGCCTCGGGCACGGAGGAGTCGGAGTCGGAGTCGGAGTAGTCGCTGGCGAACGCGGGCTGCGAATCGAGGCCGCCGACCTTGTTGATGCCGCAGAAGGGGAGGAGTTCTCTGGACGCGGCCCGCAGCGTGGTTTGCGTCGCGGGCCGGGAGGCTGCTGTCGCTGTCGGGACGGTGTTGTCTGTCCACAGCTTGAACGCGCTCGTGCCGCTGGTCTTGTATCCCTCGGGGACGGACTTGCGCACGCGCATGCCCACGTTGAGCAGGTTGGCCTGGACGCTGCTTGGGAGCAGAGGCTGGCGGGGGGGTTGCGGCTGCGGTTCGCCGGCTGCGTCGCCGGGTGCCCTGCTTGCGAAGAAGGATGTGATTTGGCGCTGCGAAGGGTCTGCTGAAGAGCCTGCGAATTGTCGCTTGGTTCGTGGAGTCGACATGGTGATGGGATAGGTCGGAGGGGGGGGCCGTTTAGTGAAATGAGAGTCTTTATAGTATGGCGAGAGGGTGAGCCAAGGGGCTTCTTGCGACAGGAGCAGGTCACGAGTTTCGCAACGGATGATGCGATCTGACTCCTGGTGGCGGAGGTTTTTTTCAGTCCCCCCTTGTGGGTTGAAATGCTTTGTATTGCTGTTTGTCTCGGCAGTGTGTTTCAGTGAAGATGCCAAAGCGGTTTGTTGCCGGGTCCACAGCAAAGTACGTAGTAAAACGAATGGCACAGGGGGTTTTATTAATGGACAAAAGGGAAGAAAGCGCGGTAGAGTGGAGAGTTTTGTCAATGACTTGCAGCTCGCGTAACAAAGAAGACAGGGGAGGGATCGGACTAAGCGAGCTGTGGGCGATTGACAAAGGCCAATTGCTGAAGAGGTTGGTGTTGAAGATGGCAATGGAGTGTAGGAGGTTGGTGAGACCATATCTGACCTGACCTTGGCGTGATTACTCTGTGGCAGAATATTTACCCGAGAAGTATATACTAACATACCCATAGCACGCTACAGTATGGAGCGCAATAGTCAGGCACCTGCCGCTCACTGCAGTAAAAATTGCCCTTGAAACGACCCTGTTGGTCCGAGCGAAAGTGGAGACTGCAGCGCGTGGCAGTCGCGACCATTTCGTGTAATGTAGCTCTCTCTGCCCAATTGGCTTCGTGCGGGGGAATTGATGTGATGGGATTGGTCGAGTTCAAGGGCGCATTCATCATGTGCAGGGTAGTCGTGATAAGAAGGGTCATCTTCCGTAGATGGAGGAAATTTTGGCCTGGGTGGCATACGCTCTTTGTAGTATTGTTTTGCATTGGACCTCTTCTGTAGAACATTACAGGCATGGTGATTTGTTGGTTTGATGCGCGTCTCAATGAGCTGACTCTGCCTATTCCCCTGATGTAACCCATGTCCGTGGCGTATCAGCCGGTAAAACACACGTGGCATGACACAACCCTTCGACAAGAGCAACAGCTATGAAATACAACATTCGCACACAGACCAACACTTCTGGGATAGAATGTGCCGGCCACAATTAGACCGAGCTTCGGCCTTATGAACCCATGCCTATTCCATTTATAATTATAACCCCGGAGTTATTGTCTCCCAAACACCGTGAGCTCCACACATATCAAACAACATAGGAGGTACCATGAAGGCAGAAAGGCCCGAAGCATGTTTTGCCTGAGCACATCTGGTTAGCAAGAGACATGTTAGCATAGCCCAAGTCCGATGCCGGGCAGGCACGTGTAGCTGTGTGCTGCTCAACAGAACAAGCTTGACTAAAAGGTTAAAATATCTGTAGTGGGTGTTACTGCCTATATTAAACCAGTGAAACTATGAACTCCATGAGGAACCAATATCCATGGTACCCGTGTTGAACATGTCCCGTAATTTGAAGATAAAAGCGACAGGCGCCTACGCTTTTTTTTGGGCTGTCCGCCTGTTTTCTTGACTCAGAAGACACACGAGATGGTAAACGAGAGTCTAACCAAAGAAGGTGCTACAGGGCGTGAAACGGAAACGGCCTCATCCTGACAGGAACCTAGGTAGCTTCGCTGGAATTTCTCCCGAGATACTCAAACATCTGTCATGTCGTCTTATCACAACGGTCAGAGTCCCCTTGGGTAGGGAAATTTCCCGCTTCGGGCTTTACAAGCACTGGTGTGGCTTAAATATGCCGACGACGTCCCTGTCCGAGGTCATGACTATTCCAAGGCCTGTTCCGCTGGGCTTTCACATGGGAGAACTATTCATAGGATAGTCACGAGTGTTCGGTGTGAGTCACG